TCACAAAATATGAACATATGATCTCAGGACACAGCAATCATTACTGATATGAACCACTTGCCAAGCATCAAAATTTTGATCATGTGACCATGGGAATAATCAACAATCATAACTATGAAAAGCAATCATAAATCACTTTTCATTGCCAATGAAGCTTCAAATGATCACTAAATGAATGGTTCTAAATCAAGGACTATCTGTAGCCAAGTACAGATTATACAACTTTCAAATATAGAGTCTTCAGACATATCAGTACTAACTTTCTCTATTCTCTATGGACAATTGAGAAATTTGTTTAAATGTGAAATACTACTTAGGAAAAAAAATCCGAATATTCTTCTATTCCACTTTTTATAGAAACTGTGGAAAAATTTTCTTTCCACCTTTCTAAGCGTTATAGACTTCTCCAGAAAGCTAAGTCATCACAAAGTATATGCAAATCTAATATTTTGACCGTGATTAATTGGGCCTTCCTTGAGAACCCTGAACTGATTAGTTCCATCATTCATTTGTTTGTTTTTCTAGTATTCAAATTCAAAAGCCTTAATACTCTTTCTATTCGGCTTCTTCCATGAGTTCAATTCTCACTTCCATAGAGCATCATAGGAAAAACATCTGAATATATTTTCCAAGGCCTTAATTGTTATTACATTGCTGCTGATCAATTCTGAAAGGTAAAAGCTATCTGCTTAATTAATAAATTAAACCCTAATTGTCAGTTCAAAGGATGGGTGCTCTACCTACTGTCATTAGTTTGGTCTTCTTTATATTTAATTTAAACTTTTTTTTCACTGAAATCATCCGTAAATCTGCAGATTATTTGTATTTTCAACTTTCAGAATAGTTCCATCCATGTAGCTTAGGTCACTGATATTTCTTATCTTAATTTTAAAACCATTCATCTTCCAATCCGGCTTTCCTTAGTATACATTCAGCCTCTAGGGTGAATAAATAAGGGAAGAATATGTAGCCCAATCTTATTTCTTTGTTAATCTGGAACTAATTTGATTTGCTATTTTCTGATTCTACTACCGCTACCTGACCTGTAAATAGAGTTCACATGAGGACAATGAGCTATTCTGGTATTTCTACATTGCTATATTGTAGATACTTCATAATATGCCAATATGAACCTGCAGAGATGTAGAACATATTTGAGGCATTATATCAGGGGAAAATTCTAGATAACATGGGGAACGTTGATGCTTGCTACCTTTCCGTCTAAGCCAGGGATGTCAAACTGCTGTCCCATGGATAGATGCGTCATGCTGCAATTGCGCCCACCCCATTGCCGGCAATGAAAAAAAAGTCGTGATAGGTCACGTCACATCACATGATGTTGCAAGTTTGACATCCCTGATCAAAGCTGTTCATAGTTCTGAGTGTTCATACTAACTTTGATTCACTATTATCAAATAGTGATACTAACACAAATTGATTGGCCTTCATAGCACTTTCTCAGACACCTATACTGCTCTATAACCAAACCAGAGAATGTCTTCTTCAATTTCTTTTTCTCAATAAAAAGTAGGCCAAGCCCCTTTTATAATTATGAATTTACAGATTGGGTGGAAGAGTGTGAGAGTAATTTCTAAACAGAGAACAGGCAAGAAAATAAACTATAACAGTTTGTTCTTGCTGGTATGTATGTTACCAGTAGAAGTCTGGCCAAATGCCTCTTCCAATCTGTTACTGCTACTATTTATATTCAGGAGCCTGTTGATGCAGAATCTGCCTGCTAGAAAGCCTTCTTGATACTATTCAGTGTAAAATGGAGCAAATATAACCACAAAACACAATATATAAACCCAATCAACAGGACTGGGCAGATTTTCAAAAAGTATTTTATTTTAAAAAACTCACTGAAACAGGGATATGGGGGAAAAAGGCTTTGCTTCTCACTACAGAAGCAAAGCATGGTGTTGCTTGGCTTGATAAGAGCAACTTCTACATTAATAGCAGCTGCTATTAATGAAGTAAGTGCTTGACCCCATCCTGACATTTTGTCAAAGCAGAATGACATATGAGATGTCATTGTAGGAGGAGAGCTATGTTAGCTGTGGTAGCCAAAAATCAGAAGGAATATGGAAGAATCTTTTCAGACGAGCAAATCTAATTAAAGGGCATAAGTTTTTCAGAACAAGATTTGTTTTTAAAAAGTACTACCAGAATCTTTACTTTATAAAATGTGAGCTATTTTATTGAAAAAGGAAGTAGGTGATCCACAGATTTCTACTAATTCATATTATTTTTGGAAGACCACATGAAAATGGAATTGTTAAACAATATATAGAGTTTTGCTTTTATTGATTTACAGTGCTAACTCAACCCTACATATCTGAGAATAGGTCCTGGTTAATTCAGTTATTTTTTTAGAAGACATAGGAAGAGTTTCATTAGTCTTTTAGTGTCTATTAGCACAAAAACAGGTACAATGAAAAAGAAGATAGAGAAAATAAGCCTTTGCCCATTAATAGAACTTCCTCTTCTTTTTCCACTGCACATTTCGTACTGCAAAGTATGGCTAGGGTTTTTTTTTAAAGAAAGAAAAATATCCTAGCATAAGGAAATTCTTCTGCAAAACAGAAACTCCAATAGGCCTCTTTTTTCTATATATATATATTTTTTGCAAATTGACACATATTATATTTCCCTCTTATTTTTAACTCTGCTTGTTTTAGTGAGCAAAAGGATAACTTGTACAGGAAATGAAAAAGGATATAAGTGTAGGAATAACTTTGGTAGCTGTCGAGCATCCAGGTTAAAAAAGCTGGAACTTCATGTTTATATTTGTAAACCCATACTTTTGGTGTGGTTTCCCCTTTTGTTGCTTCAACATTGTTTCAATATGTACAGCAGGGGTCCCAACCCCTGGTCTGTGGATCAATACCGGACCATGGCATGCCAGCAACTGGTCTGCACAAACAAGCAAAGCCCCATCCACGGGATTCAGGCAGCACACAAAACCATGCCCGCTCTGGTCCGCAGAAAAATCTCTCTCCATGTAACCGGTGCCTGATGCTCAAAAGTTGGGGACCTCTGATGTACAGGATACACAATCAAAATAAAGTCCCAATATTTACAATGGGTGTTTATTCTATTGTTTTGTTTTCCTTTCATCTATTTCTGTATATGAAAACAGACAGGTAAAGTCAGACAAAACTGCAGCATCTTTCAGGGATGAACTGGACAGCAGTTTTTTTTGGTTTATTTCTTTACAGTGGTGAGTAATAATTGCAGCATTTGTGGATGTAAGGAAACATGAGTGATTGGGTCTCTGCTCCCATGTATTGTGCTTCCAAATCTGCTTTTTGAGGTAAATTTATCAAGGTACCTCATAAGACCAGCTTTGCATTACAGTTCCATTTACCTAGTTATTTAAAAAAGTATCAACAGTGCTCATATGTTCTTAGCCATATTATTGGTTTATTTTTTCAAAAGTTATAAGTTCTGAAATCACAGGTAATAGGTGATGCCTTATTCAAATGGTTGTGCTAACTGGATAAAGACCTTATAAACTGCTGAACCCCACCCCAAAAAAAACTATAATCTATTACAGATCTCCAAGAGGAAAACACAGAATGAAATAAAATATTTTAGTCTGACTTGAAGATTTAATTAGTTGGCCAAGAAAATGTTGGACCCCATTCAAAAATGAATCATTTTGTCAAATATTGTCTGACATCAGAATTAGATCTTTTTATACAGTGTGTTCTTGTGCTTGAGGGCTAGTAAGTTAAGGGGTATTTTTATTAAAGGGTAAATTTTCTACAAGTATCTCTATCCTTCCAGTTGCTAAATATCCCTCAGCTGCCTAATGATATAGTTGTCCTTCCTGATTATGTTTCCAAGAAAAGACTATTAAAAGAAACCTTGCTGAGTTAAAAAAATAACTTGACTTTTTATATTCTATTTTTATCAAAGATTAAGATAAGATAAATTAGAACCTAGAAAATGCATTCATGCATATGTGCTTAAATAATACATTTGCACCTGTTTTTCGGCTTGATTATTTTCTTAACAAAAAACTTAAGTTGAAAAATGTAAACCTACACCAAAAGGCAGCATTTGCTTTATTTTTGCTTTTTTTGCACTCTTTCAAATATGAGTAAATGCCTACAATTAAGGCTACAGAATTTCATTTGTTTTGCAATGCAAACAGAAATTTGTATCAATCATTTGTATTTTGGAGTGATGGAAAGTTAGTCCCAGGACCGTGTCAAACATTATGTATGTTTTATTAAAATATGTATCTAGCTTTGGTTGGGACTGACTTTGTCTTTTTTTTTTTTTTACAATTGGACTATATTCATCTTTTCTCACAGCTCATGAAAACAACCTTTTAAACAAAAGCAATGTTCCTTTATTAGGGGGTTGGACTAATGACCTCCAAGGTCCCTTCCAACATTATTATTATTATTATTATTATTATTATTATTATTATTATTATTATTATTATTATTATTATTAGGCTTTGATCTATGACTTCAACTTCAAGTTGTCTTGAAAGAGAACTCTTTTTTTCTGTCCTTATTTCAACTTGCATTTCTTTCTCCATGTTGTCAAATTAAATTTCATCAATAATTCAAACAATAATTATACTGTGTTAGCTGCTTTCTAATATCAATACTATATATCTTGATGATGGCTTTCAATCACATTAATTTTACTTTAAGTATGGGATATAATTATGAGTAATAATTCTTAATAGTATTATTTCCAAATGGAACTGGATTTGTTGTCTTGGAAACTAAGTTAATTTATACTGAAAATCTAAGCAATACTACTTGGAAGTAAGCCCCTGACTTTAAAGAAGGAGCTCTTCCTATTTATTTTTCTTTGGATATGAGGGTGGAGTACAATGATGTTTTCTCTTTCTCTTCTCTTTTCTTTTGCTTAATTCATTTTAGGACCCAAGACTGTCCTGTCTACAGAGCATCTTTTTCACTACAACATTGAAACTCATTCAGGTATTTTTTTTTCCCCACTTCCATACTTACTGTAAAGAAATAGGCTAGCATTTGAGATTCCCAGTTTGTTGGTAGCGACACAGGTATAGTTGCCATAATGTTCTTCAGTGACATTGGTCACTGTCAGGAAGGACTGGCTCCCTATGCTCTTGATCTCCAGACCATTGGCACTATTTATCCTGAGAATCAAGAAAAGTCAATGGTAAATACAGTAACACTTTGCATTCTTTGTATATGGTAAGTATGATAACTTCAAATTTCAACGCAGACTGCAGACAGATATGGAATGAGAAGAGTATGTTGATACAGACAGGGGATTATATGAGGATTAATTCATAAAAAATGTGGTAAGATTTGCCTTTTATATTGCTTTACCCCTCTTGTCTTTCAACTCTTCCCCCATAATTCACTATTTTTCTAGCTGACATAATAACTATGTTAATCTTTTTCAGCAAACACAACAAAGAATCTTGTGGCATTTTAAAAATTAACCTTTTTATTGTATCAGAACTTAGACACAATTCAAATAGACCTTTCTCATCTAATTCTTGCAAAAGTATACTGCAAACCTTTATTTAGAAGCCTAGCACTCCCTTTTAAATATGTGTGGGGCTTGTATTCAAAGCACAACTGATGTTATACAGATACCATACCTATGTTTGTTGCTAACTTGTGGTCAAACGGCTAGTGGGTGGAATGTTGAAAGAAAAAAAGAAGATGAGTGATGGAACTTTTGGAAAGTGAGCATCGAGTATAAAGAGAACATTTTTTAAGCTAGACATCAGAGACAACAGAAAGAAGATAAATAGTATAATTACCTAGTGTCATCTCTGTACCATTCAAAATCAGGTGTGGGCACAGCAGAGGCTGCACACTTAAGTGAAACTGGCCGCCCTGTAGCAGATACATTGCTCTTGGATTCCGTGATAGTTGGCGGGTCTGCAGGAGAGAAAGACTGACTCATATCACTGCTATCAATGTGTGCCTACCTGGAGCCACAATGCAAGGAGTGCAGCCATTCAAATTTGAATATCTTCGGGCTTAGTTATGATTTACATTGTAATGTAATAAAATCTATTAATATGGGCAAGAAATAGTGAAATCAATAAGAGGAAAGCAGCAATTATGGAATGTATGTCATTCTCATCCTGAGAATGCCAGCAAATCTAGACAGGAGACAATCTACCAAATGGGTCAAAAAAAAATCATGGTGGGTGGGACCAATTTGCTCTAAAACTCTAATTTCATGTCCACTCCTCAGGCATACAATAAAAGAATCCTCATTCTTCCATAAGCATTCCTGTAAAGGGTTATATATGAACATTTGTGTTAAACCAGAACCTGGAAAATGGGTCAAATATCCCTGAGCCATGGGTGACCTTAGGTCAGTTATTATCTCTCATCATAACTTATGCTTAAAGATTTTCTGGGAAATATAAGAAAAAAGTTTTATGTTTGATATGAATAAGAATATTGTTCACTGTTATCATTGAAACAACCGTTTTCTGTTCCACTGGAGCTAACATAGGAAATAATTCACATAATGAGCAAATATTTTATACAGATCTGAAAGCTAAACTGCCCTGCCTAAGTTCCCCTGAACCCTGCTAAGGAGCCAATTCTCTTATTTCAGCTGCATTCTATATATTAGCCATATTCCCAATACTTAAAAAAAGATATTCTGGAAGGCTAACAATCAGTTGCTTCAACTTTATGCTTGATCAGACGCTATAGAAACTGATATATCTATAGCATTCAAGGACAACACATTCAAAAGCTGACAAAATCATCAGGTTCCTTTCCCTGAAAGATCACTGTAATAGCTCAGTCTAAAAATAACCAATATTTAGTGTGTAGGAAGAACATGAAATAAAATATATGTTTCATTATATCCAGGTCCAGCATCTTACATGTCAGTCTTGGTTTGGAAATGAGGCACTAAATGGAACCCATACTAGAAGCCTATACACACACATTTTGTGAATGAAATCTATAGAATCTTGCATTGCATTTCATTAAAAAAATATTGTAGTAAAGTAGTAATAGTAAAGAATGCTAAGATGAAAAAGATGAGTGCATGGGATAAAAAGCAAATCCCATTGTCTTATAAGAAATGCTGCTTTTATAACAGTAGCATATAGATTTGGGGTGTTAGTCATTTTATGCAATAAAGGAATCAGTCTTTTATCATATTATCCCAGCATTGCCCTTTGTGAATGCCACTTCTAAAGCCACCTACATTTGGATCCTTTTAACTAGAAATGTATGAACGGATCCTGTAATCATCTTCTGGTAAAATGTCTATGCTTATTCACTAAGCTATGGCCTTTCTTACCGCAAACTTGAAGGACCAACTTCTCTAATGGCTTCTACATAATTAGATCTCTAATTTTGCCTCTTGCTACTATATGTTTTAAAAGAAAAAAGCAACAAGAATTAACAATACAAAGAAAAAGATATCAAACCAAAATGAAAGAATAAAAGATTATGCACAATAGATGAAGCAAACTATGCCTTCTGTGATTGCACATATTTAAACCCAGTGCAAATTGTCAATTTAAGTCTTCGTCCGCATACATACTATGATCCCATTCCGACTTTCAGGCATAGTTCCCACATTAATTTTATATTTAATTTCTGAAATGACACTTTCAACATTTCTGAAATTATACCATGGTCTGTATTGGTGAATATTAGGATGGATCTGGGTAGAATTGGCCAGAGTAATTTTAGGCAGTGGAAAAATTTTTCAATTAAATCAAAGGTGACTACTTGGGAAAAACTAATTTCCAACATTTTTTCACAGGTTATTAGGATCCACAACTTCATCATCCTCATAGAAAATCATTAAGTGCTACATTTTCAATTTGAAGTGTTATGTTAGCATTGCACATTTTTATTTCTAGCTACTGTTAAATAAAATGTGCAATGACAGCTCAAATAAACAAAGACCTTTAGTGTGAGCTTAAATTTGTGTATTTGAGTCTATTTTTAATGCAGATTTCTCCTTTTCCAGTGTTGCATAAGCTTCAGTTAAATAATAAAGACAACATTTACAACTGGGAGATTTTTAGCCTCATTATTTCCTAAAACCTGAAAATAAGCAACCATGCTTTAATCCCGTGGTGGCGAACCTATGGCACGTGTGCCACAGGTGGCACGCAGAGCAGAGCCTCTCTGTGGGCACATGTGCTGTCGCCCCAGTCCTAGGCCTTCAGCTGGGTTTTATAAAACCTTTTTTGCCGTGTGCAAAAAAAAAAAAAAAAGGTTCAATCAATCAATCAATTTCAACTTTTCGCGGGGAAAAAAAGATCTCACAAAGTTGGAATTGATTGATTGAACTTTTTAGTCCAACCAGTCTGTCATTACCACCGCAGCCATGCCCACCCAATGGGCCATGCCCACCCAATGGGCCACACCCACTGAATGGGCCACGCCCACCCAGCACCAACGATACATAAGTGGGTTTTGGTTTGCAGTTTGGGCACTTGGTCTCTAAAAGGTTCACCATCACTGCTCTAGTCTATAGAATTTATCAAAATCACACTGATAGGCAGTTGAAAAAGGTTTATAAAACCTTGCTCTTACTTTGAAAGCAAAAGTGTGAGTACTCACGAATTAGATAACATTGCTGAAGACTTGCTGACTTTTATCTTTCCACTTTCAATATCTCCTGAAATTGAGTAATTCTTGGATTTCAGAGGAACCTAGCCTAATCTGACTGCTCTTGCTTATGTTACTACTCGCATTGCCAATGCTCCCAATCTTCCTGTATTAAATGAATTATTTTGTAGTTGTACTTCCTTGAATGCAATAAATATTTTCATAATTGTGGTGTTTATTACAGTAGCAATAATGCTTGAACTGAAGTTTCTTTTTACACACACCCACACACACACACAAACAGGATCTACCTTTATTTACAATTCACAAAGACCATGGACAGATATTCATCCATCTTATTTGTTTTCATCTATCAAGTGAGAAAATAATGAATTGCACTATTCTTCCTTCTTTATGATAATATTATGGAACCCTGTTATTGTGATCTTAAAACAAGATCCTTGCTGCTTTCATCTCTCCTACAATAGAAGGCTAACTATGTTTCCATATAAGATGGACTCTTAAAAAACAATTTTGTTGCCCAATTGAAGGTATTTAATACTGTAAGGGGGAAAAAAAATCCAACCTCCAAATATCACAAACAGTAATTAGGAGCACAGAAGAAAATTGAATACGCATGCACATACATGTGTGAGCTCTCAGAAGACAGCAATTTCAGCATTTCATATTACATTATTGAGATACTTTCTGTACCTTGTCTTTCTTCTAAAATAAATAGAAGTCATATGTTTGTTAAAAAAGATCAACTAACATAATAAACAATCCAAGTGGAGTTGTTGGAGAAAGGCTACAAAATTTTATATTGCAATTTCATTCAGGTTTATATACAATAGATGTTTCAGCCTTCAGTTGGTTTTTTTTTTTGTGGGAATATAAATAATTTCTATTTGAAATCCAGTGCAAATGAAATCAAGATAGAAAGGTAAACTTTTTCTTTTTATGACTGCTATAATTAAGAGTTTGTTATGTGGTTTAGAATACCAATAATAATGAATTAACCTTGAGTCTATACTGTTTCTTTCCTTTATTTTGTCTCATCATTTATTTATTAAAACATTTTAAATAATAACAAAAAAGAAAAGAGAAAAAAAGTACGGGGTTAAAAGGATACAATAACAGTAAATAAGCAGAGAATTTACTGTAATAAAAATTAAATTGCAATATGGCATTAATGTATAAACTGATTGTATTGAACTGAGAACATTATATCATTGAAAAGAAAAATAAAAATCTTTAAAAAACTCTGAAAAAATATTAATATCACCACTATTTATTTTTATTCGAAGAAGAAATTAACATGCATAAACAAAAGAAGGAAAAAAGAAAACCACCTGCTATCAAAGTACAGGGTGTCCTTGTACCTGACTGATAGTTACAATCAACATGTTTATGAGCATTTAATATTGTTTACATTCCTTGCACTTTTGTGAGTTTTAATTTTTTAATAAATATGTTTAAAATGATAGCACTGGTAAAAGATTACCAAGATTTCTCAGGCAGAAAATATTTATTACATACATAATAACATATATAAATCCTAATGAATCAAAATAATGTTCAAAGTGACAATCTGACTGAAACGTAGATAAGACCAACGTTACTTTGCATCATAATATCTACAGTATACTTTCCTTCTTCACATATTTTTCTTTCTCATGGGACAAACTCAAGTGATAGTGATCACCTAAAGCCCCTCTCTCTCTTGGAGATTAAGAGAAAAAAACCAGTTTGGTTTTTTAAGAGCGGAGGATAGAAGGAAGGACAGAGCAGCACTTTTCATTTCCCCAATAGCAGTTAACAGTTTGAATCAAACAGGAAGCAACTAAATCCAAGACTGAAGAAGAGCTTTTCTTCAGAAAACTTCTGTTTCTGTAGATACAGCTAAAATGTCTATCCAGGATTTTTATTTCATTTTTTAGTATTGTGTTAAGTTCTGTGTTCTTTATTTTTCTGTCCTAGTTAGGGAATTGGGCATAATTTTAGTCTTTCTTCATCCTTCAGGCTGTTTTCAAAAGTTGCAAGTTTTCCTTTAGAATCTCTTGTGATGTATAATAATATAGTGAAATCTGTTCAGTATTTTGTCAGAGATTCTGGAAGAAAGACTGCTATTTGTAACAGAGCAGCCCTTCTTGGGATTTGTCTGAAATTTGTTTTTTCCACATCCGCTATTTTCATTTTGATATTTAATGGTAAAAGGGGGCTTTACGTGTTTATCTTCTTTTAATTAAGTTTTTGCTTATTTCCTCTGTGATTGGTTTGTTCTCTCAAAGGAATGGAGAGAGACGGATGAATCCTCTGTTTACCATATTTATATTCTATACCGTCAGCATATGGTATTATATAGTTTATATATTTGTATTTTGATCTTTTAATTACTCAAAATGAACCTTATCTCTCTTACAGGATTGAAGGATGTCAGTTAAAGGTGCTGTCTACAGATAACTGATGGCAGCAAAAACTACAAGCTACCACTCCAAAGCAGGAGATAGGACCAGAAGATGGAGAGGCTTCTGGGAAAGGAGCTTTGGGATCACCAGAGGGCCACAGCAATGTGCTACAATCTAGTTTGATGCACTTCAAAGGTGCATCAATTTTCATAATCTTCAGTAATCCCATAATCAGTAAGCATTTTACATGTTAATTGCTGGCTATGGTATTTGACGTTCCCTACATCAGGAAGGCACCAAGTTGGAGCAATTTGGAATAAACAGCATCATGATTCCTAGTCGGATTTGATTTTATCTTATTATATTTAGTTCCTACAACTGTACTGGCCTTGTTTGGTTTTCCAAAAATTATGAATTCTGCTAAGCCTAGTAGGACTATATTGATCGGAGCCAGAGTATCTGAAAGGATTCAGACTAAAGGCCTTATATCTTTTGTCATCCCAGAATATTGGATACAAGATAATGGCATAAATGCAAATGTCAGTTGAATGTTATGAAAAGCTTTCTAAGAGAAACAATTTGACAATGGCATTAATTACTTAAGATGACAGTGAGATGGCCTTTTGAAAACAGATGGCTGTTTTCAAGCACAGGCTGGTGATAGATTTTTGCTTGGAATGCTTTAATTTGTACTTCTGCACTAAGTGGAGGATTGACTTTTGAAATCTCTTGATTGTATGACTTCAGCAGAAATTACACATGATGAAGTTAAGGATCAAATGTAGTTACTGAGCTACTCATACCACACTTTTCTAATATACAATGTATAAAATTAAGAGATCTAACCCTAACTGAATCTAAGAAGCAGCTTGTATGAAAATAACTTCCACAGATGCTAGTCTGCCTAATTATCTATGATCACCACCTGCTGCCTCTTCCCCATTCAGCAGGGCCCCTGATCCTGGAGATTTTTTACAAGGTGATTTTGGCTGCTGAAGAAAGCACTGAATGGAAAGGTCATCTTCTAGCAGCCCTATCCCCTGATGCAGACAGATCTATGGATGTAACATAAAGTGCTTAACAATTTACAGCTGCTGTAGCCTTATAAAAAGAATAATATATTCTAATCAAACAGATGCTTGCATATATATGCACATTATAGTTGACTATGACTCAGCTGTGCCACTTTTACATTTAGACTCTTAGTTTAAAAAGAGCCTTAGGTTGTTGTATTGCCCTATAGCTCATCCAAGAACTGTAATTAATAAGTTTCTTTCCTGCTTTAATCTCCATACTTAGTATTTGGCCATTCTGCATCACCGTTATACCTCTGTGTTTTCACAAAAGTATTAAGTGTCTTCACTTCTTCTATAATTGAATGCAATTAACTTCAAGTTCAGAAACAAAACAAAGAACCTTCTGTATCATGTATAGTTGAAGTGTGAATTCCCATCTCAGTCCACATGCCAGTTCCTAAGTTTTTCTTTCTCTCCACCGAAGTCAAGGAAGCATAGTGTAAATTGTAGCATTGCAACAATCCTTTAGACGAGGGGTGTCAAATTGCAGTCCATGGGCCGGATGGTCATGCCGAAACCGCGCCCACCCCACTGCTGGCTATGGAACAAAAGTTGCAATATGTTGCGACATGACACGTGACATTGCAAGTTAGACACCCTTGCTTTAGGAAATGGGCTTGTCTCTTTCCTTACAGTAACAATTCATTTTTTGTTCTTATTGTGAAAACAAACATGAGGAGACGGGACAAAGATGGGATGAGGTATATTTGTTAGATATTGATATATGTAAGATATTTCTTGGTTTTCTGTAGGTATGCCGATTAGATGATAAGAAACACTGGGCAACAGTATTCAGAAATTAAAAGGACGGGGGGGGGGGAATTATTCTGAGCTAAATTAAATGTAAATGATGTCTGGGTAAAGGTATCCTTAGCTGGTGGTCTTACTTTTACTAGAAATGATCTTGCTAAACTAGTGATTTTGCTACATTAATTCCCTTTTAATTTGATCTTATTTTAAAGATACAAATCTATTTTGAAAAAAGGAAATAGTTGGCAAAAAAGCTGGAATAATATATTAGGCTCTAAGCAATTTCACAGGTTAGCCAGGAATTTAAACTAAGTGGATAATTAAGTTTCACGTTTTCTGTTCTTTCATCATAATATGGGATCTTCCTCTAATGTGGCATAAATATGACCAGTGGCAGGATTCAGCCGGTTTGCACCACTTCGGCAGAACCGATAGCTAATTTTTTGTTGCTCAGGCCTAGAATGGACTTCCAGAAGCGGCATGCATGCAGAGAATTGGATATACATTTGAATTCACATATATGAATTCCATCACTGAACATGACCTACTATCCCCTTTTTTCTCCCATGTCCTCAGAATGTAACTGAGGCAGGTTAGTCATACTTATCTTGTTCCATGTTCAACATAAGGCTTCCTTTTTCTTCCAAAATATACATTCAGGATACTTCACCAATGAAGCATTTGCTGACTTGATCAGAAATTGGAATATGTCTAGCTTCTCTTAGTTTAAACTTAAGTTTAAACCACTACAGACTTGTCCATTTGTTCTTATGACTGGGAATGGCCCTCCGTGGCAGATTTGGCCTGGGGTGGGTTTCTGCAGAAGAATTATCCTATTGATTTCCTGACCAGAGCTCTTTATAGGACTTGTCACATCTTGCACAGACTTCTTATTAACACAAGTTTAGCATCATTTGAAAAAGCTCTATACCTGTATTTAATGATAGTCTAGTCAACAGATTACAGGTGAAGAAAAGGGGTACAGAATGAAGCAGGATCAACTCTACTTAGGTTCCTATTTCTTTTTTTTTTTTTTTTATTGAAATTTTTCAAAAGTTTTACAAATAAAACTATTTCATGCAACAATTTTCTGAGCAACAGTATTTGTCAACTGAACACGTAGATCTAAGACTCTTTCAAATAGCATAGAACTGTGTTTAAAAACATCCTGACAGGTTACATCACTGAGCACCAATGCCAGCAACCTATTATACAGGCAGTTTAACCGATGGTTAAATTTGCATTCTAAAAAACCTTCCTACATTTGCCTAATCCTGTCCCAGTGCTTGATAGATAAAAGTTGGGGGGAAAAATCCACCAATAATTCTGTGTAATACGTGGTGAGAAGGGAAACAAAACCAAAACAATCTACCAATCCTACTAATCTCCTTTCTTAACATCACTTGTAATTGGTATGTATGGATAGCATTCTTCTTTAGCTTTGCTGTTGTTTCAGAATAGAGACTGGCAGTGGGTGGAATAATTTTTGCCCCCACATTTTTTTTTTTTTGCTGGCTTGAGTTCTTATGTTCAACATTTTAACATAACCTTCTGAAAAAGCCCCTTTTTGTATTGCCTGGGCAAATCAAATTTATACTGATGTTTTTCTCTCAGATCCGACGAACTGTAACCAACTGTTTTGCAAGAAATAGAATGTTTGCTGTTGTGATTGTTTTACTTAAATTAGCTAACTAAACTAGCCAATTACCACATAAAAGTACATAAGGACATATGTCTCTCAGAGGTCTTAAATCCATAGAATTTATATTTAAATAATTCTCCAAGACCCAAAATAGTAATTTCTTTTCATGAAAATACAAATGTATTATAAATTAAAAGAAGGGAAAATAAGACTAAAAGATTTTAAATGTACAGTCAATTCATAAACACATTTATAAACAGGATTTAAAGTAATTGCTGAACAGATTATCTAAGCCACATTCAAACAAAGAAAAAGCTGTCTATTTTGGACATCTAAACAGGTTACAATATGAGTTTCCTATTTATATTTTTCTAATCTAATATTTACTAAATAGTTTATATTTAGTATAGTTTATATTTATATTATATTTCTGATAGACATTTATAAGCAAAATCCTTGAGACAACACTATCTTCTTTTCTTAATGTTTTAAAAAATTCCTATCTTAACTATCATGGCCAAGGTATATATGTTTGGGTAGATTTAACATGTACAAGGATGCTCTTTAATAACTTTTTTCTCTCTTTGGAAAGTTTTGCCTAAACGTTAGCACATAATATATGACTGTTACCGTTCTTCATTTTATGGTTCTTCCTTGCTCTGTGTTTAATTCATATGGTGTCCATCGAGTTACGGGAGGGAATATGAATTGCTTTCTCTCAAATTCACTTGCTGGTCTTTTTTTTCAGATTTTAATTTTTTTATTTTTTTGCTTCCTTGGCCAAATGCTTTTTCTTAGAGATTTTTCATATTTGGTTCGCTAATAGTTCCCAACTGGATTGTGCAGGTAGTGTTTCCTCTGTCATAACAGTTTTTCATTCATTGCCATTACCATAATCTGATCTGCCATTACTATACTCTGATCTGATAGAAATAAAAATAACTCACAATTCACCGTGACTCGGACTTGCTTCACATCAGCTGTGGAAACTTCATTTGCAGCTTTGCACTCGTATTTGCCTGACTGCTCTCGTGTGATTCCCAGGATCTCCAAGAACTCTTCTTCTCCTTCAAATTCTCTGCCTGTGAAAAGAAAAAAAAAAAGCTGAACTTAATAGTCTTCAGTGTATAAGAAGAGCTATGAAAGCAGATCAATGAAAGCCAATCAAAAATGCAGAAACAAATAATGTCCATTTTTTTTCTACCTGCTGTTTTGTAATTGTTTATTCCTTTAGCCTTTTTGATATGCTAAACTTAATTGGTAGGTTTTGTAGTTTTCTTTTTTAAATTCTGATAAAATCATTCAAACTTATTATCAGTTCTAATATCCTATTCTGTGCACTGAGATTTTCTTTCAGAGAACTTTGGCCCTTCTACATGCTTACAAATACCCATCAGACTTTAAATACTAACAAGCAACAAGATGATGACCCTGTATTAAAGACGGAGGAACCAAATTATGCAGCATGGCAACATGGTCCTGACCTCATATCTAATGTAACAATGTTATTGCAGGACATAATAATGTCACCAACAGAATTAGTGGAAGATATACTTGTTTATTGTCCTATATGCTTATAGCATTAGCAGTCTGCAATGCCCCTAATATTGCAGCAGAATTTGTGTTAGTTTCTGCTAAGGCTTGCTTGAGATTGTGACCTAAAGGTTTGGCTAAAATTGGCCTTATGGAATGATCTGTGGCCTCCTTAATTCTTGAGGGCAATTCTATATTCTCCTAGAAGTTAGTGACAGATGAAAAACTCAAATGTCATGGCCTCCTTACCCATTATTTAATTTCATCATATTTTAAGAAAACGAATTTAGAACTAAAACAATAGATTTTTGACCATAAGAAAAAATGGAGAATTTTTCTTTCTTTATTATAAAGGTTGCTTTTCAGAAGACACTTCATTCAAGCTAAGTGTCTTATATATAAAATGTCCATCCTGAACATAATAGCCTTTTTTCTAGCTGGACAAAATGCTTCATCTTCCATAATGCTAGAAGGGAGATGCAAGAGAGACAATATCTCCTTAAAAGATAATGTCTCTCCATTTTCATAGTGGCAACCAAATTAATTTCTCATGTCCTACCTGTCAGGTACAAAAGATCAAACATGAAGGTCCAATTAAACTGACATTGCTAATCATGCATATGCACAAGAATCTTCTCAGGTAATAGTTAACACCTGCCTGGAATAGATAAGGGCCAATGGAATTTAAGGGAGATTGGATTTAGTTGCTTATGACTACATAGGAATTCTAGGCTGATCTCTCATCTTACTATGCCCCCAGGTCCTGCAACTTCTCCTACTCCATCCAAGCCTAATGCCCTGACTTATTAATGTCTCTCTTAGATAACTATTTATGTAGTTTGTATAAGGACATCACAATATTTCTACTAGAAAACTGTTAAACTGAAAAGTCAGGAAGAGATGTTACAGTTTCTATTGATGTAATGGTTTTGGAATAGCTTTTTTAATAATCACCCTCATTGTTTGTTTGGAGCATTGGTCTCTGATCAGGCATACATTTATTAACAATGTTTGTTTTAAAAGTATGTATATTATATACTATTGTATGGGGCATCAACCTTGCAGACACTTGAGAAATTTGATAAGTGAATTCTTATAGGAAATAATCTAAACCATTTCTCTCGGAATAATAAGCAGATATGAACTTATCTCTCCATGGGATTTTATCCTTCTCTGAGTATTATGATGAGTTCTTGGTAATTTAATGTGCATTTAAATTACCTAATGAGCTCAGGAGTTCAAAAGGAGGACAAAAATAATCACTGAAGTTTGGAATAAGCTTGTGAAACAAATTCAGAGAGATATCTAGCTTAATATGTAACATGAGATAGATAGATAGAGGACTTTCTATTATCTAAAACCAGTTTCCTATTGTCAGTGGACAGTCATTGCAGTCCCCTTTGGAAATGATGCATTTAACATAAGATTGCTTTCATTTAATTATTCTGTTCTAAATTATAAAGGAATACATCTAGTAAGTGGTTCAGTTATTTCAGGCCCTAGTTTATGCTTTATTTTTGCACCTATTTTTGTAAAACAAAACACCCAGGTATTAGAGAAGCATTAAACATGCAACTTAATTAAAGTAGAAGTACTTAATTGATGTTATGAGAAAACATCAATATAGACTATATGTTTGATATATTCATTCATCTTTAGACAATCTTGCCCTATAATCTCTGGAAGATACAGTATGAGCAACATAGTATAATAGAATAACTGAATTGAAAGGGACCTTGGAGTTTTTCCAGTCCAATTTTATTGAACTATTTCAACTAGGAATGGATGAAACAATGTTGTCAAAATTTCTATTTCATTTACTTTTACAGCACTGAAAAATGTCATCTTATGGGACCCTGTAAGCATGCTTTCTCTGTTGCCATTCTGTTTTCTGTAACAGCTTCTTCTTGAGGTCTATGACATAGCAATCCTCTTTCAGCAGGTCTTGGGTTGTGGAGTTTTGTGAACCCACTAGAATGTTAGGACTGTTTTAATTATATTTTCTGTATGACTGTTATCTACTTCTATTTCCTTTCTCTTCTTTTATTATAAAGGTAATCTTTGTTAACGACCATTTGTTCAGCAGTTGTTTAAAGTTATGACAGCACTGAATGAGAAAACTCATTCAGTAATTGCAGTTTGGGTGTTTGGCAACCAGCTCACCATTACAACAGTCACAGACTCCTGTGGTCATATGATCACTGTTTGTAACTTTCACTGCTGGCTTTCGTCAAGTTAATGGGAAGCTGGCAGGAGGTCACAAATGACAATCACATGACATTGCCCTAGAAACCACATGGGACTTGCTTAACCACCACAACTGGAACTGCCATTGTAAGTTAGTGTGATCACAGGACATTGGGCTTTATGACCATGTTGCTTAGTGACAGTCCCAATTACTGAGGTCAACCTGTGGCATGGTTTTAACTTTTCCTAGATACTGCCTTTATTCATTTTAGCACCAGGCATCCTTAAAAATTCAGGTAAAGGTAAAGATCTCCCTGAGGATTTTAATCCACTATTTGTGACTGATTTTATGGGGTGGTGCTCATCTCCATTTCTTAAGCCAAAAGAGCCACATTGTTTGGAGATGTGGCCAGCATGATATCACACTGCAGCACAGAGTGTACAGCAAAGCATAGAATGCTATTGCCTTCCCGAATGTTTATAAAGGTTAAAAATCTATAGCTCATCAGTTTAAGACCTAAGCGCCATGAGATGGGTGAGCTCATTTTCCATGTCCCAGCTCCTGCCAACCTAGCATGTTTGAAAGCATGTAAATACAAATTCAGTAATAAGCAAAAAATAATTCTATCCATTGGTCAATACTGTATGTTGGACTGAAAAAAAGCCACAGATATTTGTAATGTAATCCCAAACAAGTCTGTTATGTAATGATTTTCCATTAAATTGAATGCTTCATTCTTAAAAGTTTTCAGATTCGATCTCTGCATTCTTATAGTAAGGCTAAAGAAATTTAGCTCAAATCCTGGGCAGCTATTGCTGATCAGTGTTGACAGCACTAGATTAGATTGGTCCATAATCTAGCCTTTAATAAAGGTATCCTTATCAATATCCATGAATTCCAAAGCATAATACACATTTATTTTAAAAATCACTATTATAGTTATCATCACCATCTCAATACTACTGAGCATTTCAGTTTGCATCTCTTTCAGAAATGCAATGTTATTTGCCAATTCAGTTCTGAAAACTGACAATGTGAATCTTGCTAGTTCCAATTTAAATGTCTAAGAGTGTTCTGAGACTAGCTTTGAGTTAAATGAAATGAATAGTAAGAAGAACAGAGTCTTCTGGGAGGCATTAAATTGTCAGACTCAAACAATAAAAAATGAACAACAGGAGACTGGTTAGTTGCCATCCATTTTATTACAATAAGTGAAACTAGAGGAAGGTGGACATTTGCAGTGATTTGGGGAAAAATCCTCTGGATTTTAAGTGTTTTACAATTAAATGGGGATTATAACCTCTTTATTGACATTTTTAACTGTGATACCTTGAGATAGTTCCCTCTGGGTGTGTTTCAAATGATCTTTGTAGATCAGCTTAATATATTCCAAGTGATTAGGCTTTCTATGCTACTTTTCTAAGGCAAATACATTTGACCTTTACCAAACTGACCTTTTCTCAATGACATCATATAAATCTTGGTTATATACCACTTTCTTAGTGTTCTTTACCTTAGGGAATAATATGCCCTTCAGAGAATCCTTGGTTGTTAGTTATCACAGTCTCCCTTAGGTGATACTATGCCAGGCTATAGCCATACCACATCTCTCTTCTCATTAATTTCATGAGGCATCAGATTAATTCTAAAAAGCTTTTGACTAATAATCAATTCAGGCAACCTGCCATGCAGTCCTTTACTAAATTACTCCACAGTTACTGCAGTCGCTAGCAGGTTCTTCATCTTCCAACATAATGTAGGGAATATTATTTTCCCAGTCATCATAAGATTTCATCTTCCAATGGAGTTCTGTGATGGTGATGCTGAAATTTGACTTAAGCCAGCACTTTACGAAAACTTAGCATTAAATCTGGGCCAAATATTTTGATTCTGCTGTGTTTGATGTTAGTGTTTAAGTCAATATCTCTTGGAATCTAGGGGAAAAATTAAAGGTTCCACTTCATAGATACAAGGACAAAAAGTTAAATTTTTGAATGAATGTTCATATCTTATGGCTGTTTATTTTAATCTGCATTTTCTAAAATGGATAGCAGTATAAGCATGCAAGATAAGTAACTTTTTAAACAAACGCAACTCAGCTCTAAAAATCTCTGTACTGAAAGACATACTTAATTTTAGAGAACGGTTTGCTGATTTTGTTTGTCTCATTTGCATGCTTTGTATACTGAGCTTTCCACAGATTTACTAAATATTCTATTAAAAAGGCATATGGTATGTAAAGAAAGACTTCTGGCTTTCCCCTAAAATCATATGTTGCATTTCTGAATGTGGACTGAAATGTTTAGTCAAAGAATTTAAGAATTGCCCCATTAAAATTTCCATTAACATTTTTAGAAATAA